CTCTGGAGCCAGGCTGAGAGAGCTGGGCTGGGGCAGCTGGAGAAGAGAAGGCTCCTGAAGGGGACACCTTAGAGCAGCTCCAGTGCCTAAAGGGGCTCCAGGAGACCTGGAGAGGGGCTTTGGACAAGGGATGTAGGGACAGGCCCAGGGGAATGGCTGTAACCTGCCAGAGGGGAGACTGAGATGAGCTCTGAGGCAGAAGCTCTTCCCTGTGAGGGTGCTGAGGCGCTGGCACAGGGTGCCCAGAGAAGCTGTGGCTGCCCCATCCCTGGCAGTGTTCAAGGCCAGGTTGGACACAGGGGCTTGGAGCAACCTCCTCTCGTGGAAGGCGTCCCTGCCTGTGACAGGGGTTGGAGCTGGCGAAGCTTTCAGGTCCCTTGCCCCTGCTGGAGCCAGAAGTGACCACACCAGGCAGATGCTGCACAGCTTTCAGTATCTGCAGGGCCTGGACTGCTCTGTCAGGACACTAACAAGCACAGGCAGTCCGCCTTTTCAACAAAGCAGACTCCTACACTCAGAAATTGGATGAAGATCATCCTCCTTCACTTAAACCAACACACTCAAGAGAGCAGAGGTGCTTTCATCTAACACCTACAGGGCTCCACTGCAAATTGCAAAATTAGAGGCGAGAAACTCTATTCCTGACCCTACATAAACCCCATGGCTGTGTTCTCCTTGTCCAAACAGCCATGGTCTTTTGCTTTTTTCCCCAATTACATTTAATAGCCAAGCACAGTTTTATGGACAGTTTTAGAGAAGCACAGTGAGGAGAAACCTGTGCAAAGGCAGCTCCAGGAGGCAGTTCGAGCTCCCTGTGTTCCATGTTGTCCCAACCACCACACATGTGGGCCACTGGGGGCAAGAAAGGACCAAAAATCATAGAGAGAGATCCGCGGTATTAACATCTTCATTTCCCTTTCATGTGGTATCAGCCCATCCTATGCAAAAGGCTGTTAAGTCACTTAGTTCAGGCTGGGCATTGCAATGAACAGTCAAGAAGCTGAAGACAGCCATTCCGGGGCTCAGGCCAATGTTTCCAGGGATTCTTCTGTCTGGAAGCAGCAAAACTTGGATCACAACTATGTCTGACACCACAGTGAGAAAAATAACCCAGAAACCTGCTTAGACTGAGACAAGAACATGATATTTGATGTGTTTATAAACACTAAACTGAAGTGCTTTCTACGTTTCAATGGGATCAAACGTGTACCTATTGTTGGCACAGTAGTCCCCTACAGCAGCAGGGAGAAGTTACTAAAAACAGAGAAAGAAAGAATATGCTTCTCCAAAAGCAAACGGTAGAACAAACCAACCTTACTGAGCCCCGTGTTGGTCCAACAGACCACACATGGTGTTCTTCCCACTGCCCAGCAATTAAAAGGACTTTCTGTTCCCAGAGCAAGCAATCTGGACACAACCAAAGAGAAACCAGAGCAGAACACAACCCATGTGTCGGTGCACAGACACAAGGAAGGTCCTGCTTTGGAGCAGGGCAGCTCAGCGAGTGCCACAGGATGGCCATTTGCACTTCACAACTGAAACCATCACCACTTTACACATAACAAGCTCTTACTTCTCCTCTTTGAAGGACTTTCATCTCCAGCACAGCACAAGCTTGAAACCAAAGCCATGTAGCCAGGAGGAGCAACACGGCAGCTGTCACGGAGCAACCCTCTTCTCTCCATCCATCATGCAGAGGGGTAAGGAGATTTGTTCCAAGACACTGCCTTTGAACAGCACAAAGCAGCAGCTCCCAGGGGCATCTGCCTCTAACAACTGATATTTAAGCAAGAAGTATCAGCCTGCTACGAAAAATTTATCACCAGCAGATGACAGTGCCTGTAGGAGCTGTCATGGTGCTACTGTCCCCTTTGCTGCTGCAGAACTGCACTTCTCACTATTGAATTCCAGCACAGCTGCTGGGGGATCCTGACCCCTGCCTTGGAGCAACCAAAAGAAACCTGCATGGCTTTGGTCTTATCTAGATCAGACAAGCTGCAAGGCTGATCCTCTTATTAATACCCTTTTACCTACAGGTTAACACGTGCCATAGAAGAGGGATCCTGGTGTGACTTGATCACAACTGCACTGATTTGTGTGCACACATCTGCATAAAATCATAGTGGTGTAAGCTGCCCTGCAGACTGCTTCAGCAGACCTTCATAAACCAAGCTACAAACCTACAATGACTTTCTACCTCCCTCTAGAGTAAAACCTCTATATGAGAAGTCCAGTGGCAGTCTATGGCCTCATCACTCCTGAAGGAGAGTTCCCATAGGGGACATTTAACTGTGGCCAAGGTCAGATACTGGACTTCACACTTTCAGTCTCTCTCTACCCATGAACACCCAGGCACCCCTCAGGAAAGCATCCTCCAGGGGTGTAACTTCTGGGTTCAGACAAGCTGACAGCAGCAGTTGCAATCAGAGTCTTCTATTTCATATACCCTCTACTCTTATCTCTATTTATTCCTCCCTCCAAGAAGACACTATCTCCATCACCATCCCCATGAGGACCTGCCCTTTGTTTTCTGCCTATTAGAGCCTGCTGAGCAATTCCAGGCACTTGCAAACCACCTGCCTGGCCCCAAGAGATGAACACAAGGTGTTCTCAGGCCAGGAGCTCCTGCAGAGCAACCCACAGACCACTTCAGCACATCACGGCAGTACTGCTGGGCACTGACATGGAAAATCATGCTTCCAGCTACAGCAACCTGTGTGCACACAGGAAGGAAGCAGCTCACCAGTCCTAGGATCAGATATGGAGGTGGCAATGCTGCTTAAAGGTATAGTTTAATGGATATCAGTTGAAACACCAACATTCACTCCTTTAGGGGGCTGGAGCACCTCCCATATGGAGACAGTCTGAGAACATTGGCGCTGTTCAGCCTCAAGAAGAGAAGCTGTGTGGAGACCTCAGAGCAGCTTCCAGTGTCTGAAGGGGGCTACAAGGATGCTGGAGAGGGACCTTCATCAGGGACTGCAGTGATAGGACAAGGGGTGATGAGTTCAAAATGAAACAGGGGAAGGTTAGGTTAGATCTAAGGCAGAAGCTCTTCCCTGTGAGGGTGCTGAGGCGCTGGCACAGGGTGCCCAGAGAAGCTGTAGCTGCCCCATCCCTGGCAGCGTTCAAGGCCA